TGATTAGGAGGCCACTGGGCAAATTTGGCCAGGATGCCGGGGTTACACCCCTACTCTTTCGAAAGACATCCTGGGATTTTTAATGACCACAGAGAGTCAGGACCTCGGTTTAACGTCTCATCCGAAGGACGGTGCTCTTTGACAGTATAGTGTCCCCGTCACTATACTGGGGCGTTAGGACCCACACAGACCACAGGGTGAGCGCCCCCTGCTGGCCTCACTAACACCTCTTCCAGCAGCAACCTGGTTTTCTCAGAAGGTCACCCATCCAGGTACTAACCAGGCTCAGCCCTGCTTAGCTTCAGTGGGCAACCAGTCTTGGGCTACAGGGTGATATGGCTGCTGGCTGCTGGATATCTCTAAAGGACAAATCAATTCTTCACAAGGCTTTAAATGTGATTTCTGTTTTTCCCAGGGCATCAGGCCTTTGCCTTAATCTAAAAAAAATGTGAAATATTACCTTTATATAATTGCACTGAGACAAATTTGGAGATGATTCCAGTTAAGAATGATGTTAAATACTTGGGCATTCATCTAAAAACTTGGCAATAAGAGAATCCAAAAATATCACAGAGAAATTTGAAGAAATAAAAAGAAACTTGGTTAACAAGAGACTTAACTATTTTAGGACGTAACCTATTGTCAAAATCAGAAGGGATTTCTAAATTAATTTACCCAAGCTATTCTCTCTATATTAGTTCACAAAACATTAGAAAATCTGGCGTAATAAAACGCACTATATCAAAAAATCACAACTTGTAGAGGACTATAATAAAGGAGGGTTAAAAACAATTGATTTTGAATCTATGGTTGGAGTTTTTAGAGTGTAAAAAAATAGGTATTTACTCATAATTTAATAAGAACAACATGTGATAACAATAAATAGAAAAACACTTTTTTTCAGAAATTGGTTTGAAAAGGAAATCATCTTCATCACAGATATATTAGATGAACAAGGTCATTTTCTTAGGTTTACGGATTTAAAAAAAAATGTAATATACAAAGTTTAATAAGGGATTATAACAAGGTATGTAAAGCAATACCAATATTCCTATTAAATATGATACAAAACTATTTACATTATTCCGAAAGTCAAGTAAATTTGCCTAAACTGCAACTAAACCAAATTCCCCTAAATAGTGAAAAATGTAACAATAATTGTATTAGCAAAATATGCAAATGAAGACTATTTCATGATTTTGACCAAAATATAAAAATAGATGATGATCACCTATGATGACAAAATAACAAATAAATACATCAGGTTCATGAAATGGCCTATACCTCCTAAAATCAAAGAAATGCAATTCAAAATTATAAATGTATATTATCCAGCAGCAGCAATGCTTAAACAGAGATTAGGTTTTGAAGTGGAGCCGTGTGTGTTCTGCTCCCAGGAGGATGAAACTATTGAACATTTGTTTTTCTCTTGTCCAGTGATAAAAAGATTCTGGCAAGATGTCATGAATTGGCTGGAAATAAAAATGGAGAGAAATATACAATTGAAGTTAAAGCAAATTCTTTTTGGCAACGAAAACCTTCCGAAGGAACTTTTTAGAATTTACAATATCATAACAATTATGGGTAAATACCATATTCATAAATGTAAATGGCACAACAAAAATCCATCCATAATGGTGTTTAAAATTAAACTGAGGGAATACTTTGCTTCTTTGAAACGTCTGAAAGACTCCAGTGATAACATTTACTCTCTATGTGAAGATGTCTCAAAATATTTGTCATTATAATTTGTAAAGCTTCCATGTAACTTTATTTTAAGAATATATGAAGACTGAGGACAATATATGTATGTGAATAACTTTGACATGCCTTATGGACTGAAGTGCCTTTGCTTAAGTTATTTTATTTTATATTTATTTGTATTTATTTTCTTTATCGAATTTTGTTCTATTTAACTGTCCTTAACTATGTTCTGCACACGAGTCTCCCAACGAGAGATTTTGTAAATTGTGTCTTGTAAATATGTGTTTTTAATAAAAAAATTTTTTTAAAGTTGCACGACAGCTTGACAGACATCAGTGTGATAAACAGGAAAAGCCATTCTCTTTTCACTTCATGTACACTAAGTGAAGGTGTGGAGTTTATTGCACTGCACTGACTTGCATAAGTTATAAACATCAAATCCTTCACCATTACACGGTCTGCTCCATTTGGTCCTTCCTGAGAGAAAATTAATTGTTCTTTTTTATTAGCACGGCGTTCGTGGTTCGACTGGTCGAGACTGTTTTCCAAGATGGCTCCTGCCTGTATGTGCGAAGTGTTTTGTCTTTATCTTCTTATTAAACTGTCTGTACACTTACAACGTTCTGAATGCTTCAGTTTGCATGAAGGGACCCTCATTATGCTAGCGTGTTAGTGTGGGGCTATTTTGAGCCTTGTTAGTGGCATTAACTAGCGATTTCTTTTTACTTATCCGATGCCCCATACACTAGCGTTATAAGCTAAACAGTTTTTAGAGATAAAACTCTTTACACTCGATTATCATGAAAACACATCCCAGAGAACGGTCGACTCGGCACCAATGTGTTATTACTCCATAGCTTCATTTTGCGCCAGAGTTGTCCTTTAACATTAGCTATAGCCTACATTACAGTTAACATAAACTAACAATGAATAACAATTATAGCATATATTTAATCTTAGTTAATCCCAATATTTACTAACACACGTTTAAGATCCAAAGTTGTATATGTCAACATTAATGCACTGAGAACTAACATGAATATAAACACATTTATTAACTAGCATTAACAAAGGTTAATAAACAACGCTGCAAAAAATATTGCTCATTGTTCGTTTATGTTAGTAAATGCATTAACAGGTTAACAAATGAGACTTACTGTAAAGTGTAACAATTGTGAAATAACTCCCTTTACAACTTAAATAGTTTATAAACTCTATAAATATTTACAGCAGAAAGTAATGATTTGACCAGTTAATTTCAGGCTGATTCGCAGATCTGTTTTCAAGCGGATGGATATTTTGTCCGATAAACATCATCATCTAAATGCTCTCCGTGGCAGAAAAAAGAAATACTCCATATTTACAAACTCGCTACATTAGAATAAAAATAACAATAAAATCTGATATCAGTTTACTGAAGTGACAGTTTTTCCTACAGAAGTTTTAATCCGTTTCTGTCTTGTAATTCATTCAGGTCTCATCTTTAAATTGTCCTTTAACAAATACCAGCATTGTTCTCTTTAATATTTATTGTATTTGACTATGGAAAACAATTTTAAAATATGATGCTGTTGTGTATGTTCTTAAACACATGTGATATAGTTTTTATTAAGGATTTAGGCAGTTATAAGTTTAAGGTCTGCATTTATTTAGGCAATGTGAAATAAAAAAAATGCGTATTTGTTTACATATTTTGGCGAATTAAAACATTTTGTAGATTGACTCAATTCACTGTAACCCAGAATATGTTAACATAATATCCCCACACAAAAAATGAAAACGACAGACACGTACTGTTAAACTAAATAAACTAAAGTTGATGGGTAATAATGAGTCGCAACAACGGTTTAGAGTTTCCTAAACCCCCACAGTTATGAAAGTCTCTTTTCCAGGAGCAGGTGTGTGGCTCTTAAAAGAGCCTTTGTGTGTGAGCGCCTCCTCGGACTCTACTTGGAGCTGGTGTACTTGGTGACGGCCTTGGTGCCCTCAGACACGGCGTGTTTGGCCAGCTCTCCGGGCAGCAGCAGACGCACGGCGGTCTGGATCTCTCTCGACGTGATGGTGGACCGCTTGTTGTAGTGGGCGAGACGAGACGCCTCACCGGCGATGCGCTCGAAGATGTCGTTGACGAAAGAGTTCATGATGCCCATCGCCTTGGAGGAGATGCCGGTGTCGGGATGAACCTGCTTCAGCACTTTGTAGACGTAGATGGCGTAGCTCTCCTTCCTGGACTTTCTGCGCTTCTTTCCTCCCTTCCCGGCGGTCTTGGTGACGGCCTTCTTGGAGCCCTTCTTAGGCGCGGACTTGGCTGGTTCAGGCATGATGCTGGATGAACGTAAAGCTGACGAGTCAGTGTGAGCTCAGGAGCGACACTGAGGCTTTTATTCACTGCCCTATGCTAATTTACAAGGAGACACTCACACCTCTGATTGCCTGTTTTCATTGGCCAAACCCATAAACTCGTGTTTCATTGGACAACTCAAAGCATCATGAGCGGAACGAGGGCCAATCACAGGCGCTTAAATAATAGCCCCGCCCACCGCCCCCCGCTTGAACCACACCGTTTCCATTGTTTCATTTCCGCACTTTTTATTTATAGATTTTAGTGATGTTTTGAGAAAATAAGCGATACACATATTTTATACAATCGTGAAATTAAAACCCCTTGTAATCACACTGAAGGAGTTTTGGAGGAAAGAGAAAAATAACAGACTCCCTTCAAAAACAGCTTTTCCTCAGAACTCCATTCGATTTATTACACCGTTGAACAGTTTAAGTGAAACAAAAAGTACTTCATTGTATTTATATTTATTTACGATTGTATGATGAAAGTGTACTTACACAAATGGTACTTTTTGTAAATGTATAAAAAGTATACTGGCATCACGCTTTCACGCAAACACTTTTAAAACACTTTAAAATAATTACACTATATTACACTTTATAGAAATATATTATACTAATCTCAACTTTCTATGTTACCATTTAGCCTGTTTTGTCTCGCTCCCGCGCCCGCAAAAATACTTTTTTCTGTAGGCTAGTACCACCAAATACTTTCAACTTAGCCTACGTGTCGCCACCATACACATAGGCATAAATGGTCCTGATGAATTATTTGTTCTTAAAGCATTAACACACAAACCACTGTTAATTTAACATAAAAGCAGGCTACTGCGTGCATGGTTTGGCATGACTGACTGCGCGCAAAGTTTAATAATTCCTAAAAAGCTGACATCAGTTCATCGCGATCTCACACATCTCTGTTAATATCAATGAAGCTGACTGCACAATGAATCTTTCATAATATCCACACTTTGTTTGTTATAATTAGAGGATTTGCCAGCATACAGAATTCAGCACTGAACAGAAAGTCCGTTTTGAGCGGTGAGGGGAGTCTATCTTAAATGCTTCTGATTGGCCATTGCGTTCAAGAAATCAACACATATGTCTGTGATTGGCTACATCGCTCAACGCTGCAAACATGTTATGAATATAAACTCTGCCCTGTAAATCGTTTCTATTTTGTTTTAGTTGTTCTTGTTGCTTTTCTGCAACAGTGGAATACAAATCTATTAGTTTTTATATGTTTTATTTATAAATATTTCTAGTTTGCGGGAGTCCCGCGAATCGTTTTATTCTCCCGCAACCCGCACACACAGAGTGAGTGCATTACCGCTCGCGCCCGCGCTCGCACTCGGCCATCAAGTCTAGTCCCGCGCCGCACTCTATTGCGCTGGGAGTGCACGTCTCTAGATCAAGGTCCCGGACCGAGGATAGTGTCGGGAAATATCGGCTCGAACCGGCCCGCGGGTCAGGTCAAGTTCGGGCAGAGAATCTAAGGTCTACTCTCAATACATTACTTCAATAGTGTATTTATGAGTTCACTAATAGTCTTTTATAATGAACTGTAGGATCGCATCGCTAAAACATGGACTCTTTCTGTGCGGGAGTGTGTGGCTCTTAAAAGAGCCGTTGGGTTCGGGAGTGTGTGGCTCTTAAAAGAGCCGTTGGGTTCGGGAGTGTGTGGCTCTTAAAAGAGCCGTTGGGTTCGTCAGTTTCTCCGGGTTTCAGGCGTTTCCGAAGCCGTACAAGGTGCGTCCCTGTCGCTTCAGCGCGTACACAACATCCATGGCGGTAATGGTCTTTCTCTTGGCGTGCTCGGTGTAGGTGACGGCATCGCGGATCACGTTCTGCAGAAACACCTTCAACACAGCGCGGGTCTCCTCGTAGATCAGCCCGGAGATGCGCTTGACGCCGCCGCGGCGAGCCAGACGCCGAATGGCGGTTTTGGTGATCCCCTGGATGTTATCGCGCAGAACTAAACGGTGACGCTTCGCTCCTTCATTCCCGAGCCCTTTCCCGCCTCTGCCGTTTCCAGACATGATGCGTATTGATGCGATGCTCAAATGACGACGAAGAAGAATAGATTGTGAATGATGAAAAGGAGGCGTTTTATTAAGTACACCCCCTCGAGTTCTAGTCCTGCCACTTATCAGCCAATCAAAAAAAAGAAAGCGGCTATATAATAACCAATGAGAAAGTAGCACTATTGTATCTGGGTAAGATTTAAGCAACAACCAATAAAAAAAAAGCATATCGTGGAATTGTTCACGTGATTCTGCTACAGCATCTTTCGAAAGTTTCGTTCACCCACAGAGGAAAGCACTGGAGCTTCGAGCATCACTTTGAGCACAGAGTGAGTCACGAACTCCTGTTTTAATGTTACAACAAATTCACAACTTGTTTGACACAAACAATGACAACTTGACCGCTGTTAGAGAATGATTCCCAGATAATTAGCATGAGTTTTTCATGAGTGTCTATAACTTAGCCAACAGTTTTACAGCCTGTTCCCTGACCACACCTGCTCAGAACAAGTAGTCTAGGCCTAGTCATATTTTCCTTATCACACGATGACTGACATATATAGGTCATGTTTAAAATCATGTCATATTTTATAATTATATCCTGGCCATGGATGCATTAATCATTGCATCTGTCTTTCAAAGATATCAGGAAAAAAGCAATCCCATCCCAAGCAAGCTCATTCACCCTGAGAGGAAAGCCCCCTAAAAAGGCCATTAGAGGATGCTGGCCCAGAGAAGGTGGCGAAAAGGGTAGATCCAGAGGAGGAGACTGGGGAAGAGACGGTCGACAAATCTTTTATTAGGCAAGTCTGAGCAATTATTAATAACAACAACGAAAACACTAATAATAATATTATTAATGAAACACCCCCATTCCCTGCCACCCGGGGGGATCTTAACACCCCCAAACCCACCCGAACATGGAATTAACTTAAGCTTTGTTGCTGGTTTTGTTAGTATATTTGCAACCACATCATCAGTACAGACAGTACTCCAGACTAACTCTGCCCTCCTTTATTAATAAAATAGTCTATACATCTCTGTCTATACACAGGATTTTTTGCTAAGGCTATGGCACACTGATTGTCTTCATAGAATCTAGATTCATATTTCAGACCATCAATGTTTTGTAGCAATTCAATTTTCATTTCAAATTGGAAATGAAATGGACGGAAGATACCCTGATTGTGATTGATGTTATTAATTTAATTGGATTGGCAGTGAAAATCACAAACGCAAATAAATGAATCGTGTTGTTATTGACCAGACATGATTCATTTTATCAACGTGGTATTTGTATCACGTATTTGATTGGTATGTGGCACTGAATGTTTTGTAATACCAGTGTTACTTTATATTGTTTATCTCGTAGTCACAAACTGCCCATTCTAGAAAAGACACGAAATAAATATATCATGGGTCACTACCAATAACGTATTAACAGTCGCATCCGTTACTGTCATAGTAAACCTTTATTTTTGCGTGATGCTGCACGGACGCTCGCCAGTAGGTGTATAAGTGAGTGTAACACTGGCCGCAAGATTCTCATCTGTGACTGTATAAATAACTTAAAGTAGCACTGGTATTACAAAACATTCAGTGCCACATACCAGCTACACACGTGACACAAATAACACGTTTGAAAAAATATTACTGACTTTAATGCTTAATAGATATTTAAAATATCACAAAATTAGGCTATTTATTTAGGATTTTGTGTCACAATTACGTCAGTATATGTGCTCGATTGATCTGTCAGTCACTACTGGAGTGTCACAACATACTTGGCTTGCTGAATAATATATTTAGTCTATCTGAAGCTATTTCATTCTTAAGTTGGAGAAATGAGAAATAGTTGAGTTCAAATGTTTTTCATTTGATTGAGTTATCACTAGGTAGCCTGGTAAATAAGCAGAATATAAGACCAAGTAGTTTATTTCTCCGGCTGGAAGATTGTCATTGGGGTGGATGAAATGGGAGACAACAAACATTAAACAAACTTTAAAAACATTTATTCAAATATATAGCTGCATCCCATGCAATTAGCACAACATTAGAACTGCATCCCATGCAATTAGGCCTACTTCAATCATTGCACTATGCACCAATATGCCATTTGTAAACAAATTACATTTTCTATAGGCCTAGATAGAAATTTAAACAAGAATACAAATAATAATATTAATATAATAATGAACTTCCGACATTGTCTATTTACTGTGTTTTTTGCCAAGTGCAGCACAGTCAGTGACACACTGGGATAGACTATGTGGTGCCTGCCTTTTAGGAAGTGAATTGCCGCTTGCCCTTCCATAGCTGTGCTCTCTTCTTGAGCTTTTTGTTGGCTGCCCAGTAATGAGGGCACGCCTGCCTCCAAGTGGCGTTTTCCGACGAGCCACTGCTGTCGGCTGCACTCCAATTTTCGTGCTCATTTGCATGCCCCTTCTCACCATCCTCCTAGCACCTGATCCGGCAGAGGCACTTTGCCGGCCAAATGTGGCCAGTGCAGAGCTGGCTGTCTGTTGTCAGTCTGTCATAGGAGGTCAGCATCTTCTCCATGAAGGCACTGTACAAGTCAGGCTCAGCCTGTAATTTTCCAATGAGGCCCTCCATCATCCCCCTGACCCGCATTTCCAGCCTGCTGACAATGAGCACAACAACATACATCAACAAGTATTGGTTAATGGTTACTAGTAACAAGTACATTTTTTTGAAGGTGTGTGTGTGTGTGTGTGTGTATGTGGTAACTTCTTAAAGGGATAGTTCACCCAAAAATGTAAACTCTGTCAGTAATTACTCACCCTCATGTTGTTCCAACCCCGCAAGACTTTCGTTCATCTTCGGAACACAAATTAAGATATTTGTGATTAAATCTGAGAGCTGGATCACTCCTCCATAGGCTTCTAAAGGATTGAAACCTGACAGCCCCGAAAAGTCATTAAAGACATCGTTAAAATAGTCCAAATGGCTACAGTGGCTCAATCTTAAGTTTATCAAGCGACGAGAATATTTTTTGCGCGCAAAAAAAACTAAAATAACGATGTCTTTAATGACTTTTCGGGGCTGTCAGGTTTCAATCCTTTAGAAGCCTATGGAGGAGTGACCCAGATCTCAGATTTAATCACAAATATCTTAATTTGTGTTCTGAAGATGAACGAGGGTCTTACGGGGTTGGAACAACATGAGGGTGAGTAATTACTGACAGAATTTTCATTTTTGGGTGAACTATCCCTTTAAGGTAGTAACTTCTGGTGTGTGTGTGTGTGTGTGTGTGTGTGTGTGTGTGTGTGTGTGTGTAAGTCACC